TCTACCACTACCTGGAATTTCAGTTTGAGGAAGTTAAAGCAGAGTTATAAAAGAGTCAAGGCACTTTCCATACAGAAATTGAATTATGCTCACATCTAAAAGCTTCTTCTACTTTGACACCTACAGGAGTCTTATCAAACAAACAAAGCAGCTGCCCTTCAGCAAAGTGGCACAGGCAGAGTTCAGAAAGGCTACAGCAGCTTCAACTACCTCTGAAACAAGCTATGAAAGAGCGTCAGAAAAAGTTTTTTCTCATTTCTTCTAATCAACTCAAAGATTCACACTTACATAGTGAAAATCTTCCTGTTTGGAGAATTTCTTATTACGATATGGAAAACATCGTCCAAGTCACCAGAGCTGCTGGGCTGACAATCTCAGCAATCACTGGCTCCAGCTGAGGTCTTTTCCTGCTCAGAGCACAGGAGAGTGTCACCACCTTCCCTGCCATTTGCAGAGATAAACTCCAGCTTATCCAGCATACTGGGTATCATTAAACTCCTCCTTGTATTCCTGATTGCTTTAAAATAAATCCTGAGCCTTTCCCATTGAGAAAACAACATAACACTACTGTGCATTTGCCATTTAACAGATTACCATGGAAGATCGGTTTTCAAAATAGGAGAAACCTTTTCCATCCTGCTTTAATATGAAAGCAGACTGCATCACCAGTTTTTGGTTGCTTACTTCATAAGTGTTGGTGACAAGCTGAGTACCTCCTGCAGTAGCTGTGCCTCAGGAAGGCAGGGGCAGGCAGAAGCAGAGCTGTACCTCTAACACTGAAGTTGTACAGAGGCACTTTATTTAGCAATATGGGCTGCAGGCTTCTCATAGAGCTGTACAATGTTTAATGCCCACTACATATGGAGGATGCAATCCCTCACTAAGATAAGAAAGCAATCTCAAAATTAAATCTGCAGTTGGATGTGCATGGCAAGGCCCCCCTTATGTTTCATTGCTAAGGGTCTCGAGGAAGGAAAGCATTAACATGATGTGTTCAAAACAGTGTAGAGGAAAAAGCATAGCTTCACAACATCTGATAGAGATTAGAAATGTCTGGTCACATTCACAGATCAAGCAAGTTAGAAAATCTATAGCTCTTTGGAGAACTACTGATTTTGGAAAAAAAAAATCAAATATACCCTATTTTTCTCTATTTTTTAATCTATAAATTGACAATAGGATAATTTCTCTAACTTTTATATATATTTATGATAGAAGGGAAAGTTAGAAGATAATTTTTAATGGGTGTAAAACAGTGAATATGTAGGAGAACAGCTAAGCCTCATAAGAATCCTTCTGATAATAGAGCTTACTTTAATTATATAGATGAGAAGTCAGCAAATAGCATTTTATATGCAGTCCTTGAGAAAAGAAATGCAGCAATACAGTCCAAAATACTAGAATTCTAGTATCAAAGGAAACATATTAATCCTTCCAGCCCCAGTCTGCTTATTCTGATTTTTAAATGTATGACTAAAAAAATAGAGAGTTGTGATAGTCAGTGAAATTAGTACAGAAGAAGGCCCCAAGTGATGGGTTGTATCTTTGTTGCAGCTATCCAGCTGGGGGTACACTGGATTTCTTCTCTAGGTAGGGGAAAGGAGTCTGAAGCAGAGAGGCAACAAAGAATTTCCCTAAGGTCACCCAGAGGCAGGGACAGAGCCATGCTGCCTGAATTCCAAGCCTGTGTTCCTTTGGCTGCTAATATCAGGAGCACTGACATGGATGCAGTTTGCTGTTGTGCCAGGTAACACCACTCTGGGATCACGACAACCAGTTCAGGCAAACAGATTAATTTCTGTCATCAGTATATGGCAAAGTGTAAATAAAGCAGCTGCAAAATAAATATGAAGCAAACCCTTAGATTCCACACTGGCCTTAAGCATTTTGCATTATAAGCAATGCTTACTTCAGTGTTAGGAGGTTGAGGGTAAGTAATTACCTTTCAGGCAGAAGTGTCTGTCACAGCGAGTCCTTGCTCGACCCTTGATGGATGACATTGACAGCCAGTTGGCATTTCAGGACAGTCCATGCAGACCTTTCAGGCTGCACAACAAGGGGGAAAAAATAAAAAAAAAGAAAATTACACTCACCAAAGACACAAAGCTCCTTCTGCCTTCATCCTTATTCCATGAGCATTCCCTCTTCACCTTCCACATTATTAACCGTGTTTTCAACAATGGAATAAAAGCTAGCACAGAAGCCACTCATCGAAGGCAGATGGAAATGTCAGGTTAAAATCACAGGCTGGAATGTGAAAATACAAAAGAACCCAGAGCTTTTACAATTTTTTTTTTTTTTTGTTTGATTTGTGGGTAAAGTGTGGATACCTATGGGAAACATTCATTCTCCAAATGGCTTTGGCTAGCATAACTCTAAACAAATAAACATCATGCTGGTTTTCTCTTAAAAATGTGGTAGTTGCATTCACATTATAATTGCTAAGTGATATTTGTGTTCAAAACAGCACATTAATCATAAGAGACATGACCTTTAGAAAAATAACATTCTTGCTCTTTTTATTTTATTTGGTTTTACCTTGGGACAAGATACTGCATAAGTTAAGGTAGGTCACACATATACAAATGGAAGAAAGGAGACAGTCATTTAAAACACATCACCTATAATTTTACCTAGGAAGAATACAGTTATGTGGAATTGTTCCTGTAAGGTTCAGCAGAGCATTGGAAATCTCTAGGCCAACTAGAACTTAATTCAGCTACTGCCATAAGAGACGATCAAAATGCCTCTATAAATGTATTACCAACAAAAAGAGTGGATGAAGATTCATGGGGAAACACAGTGACAAAGGATGAGGGTAAGGCTGAGGTACTTAATGTCTTCTTTGCCTTAGTCCTTAACAGCAAGGCCAGTTGTTGTACGGGTACTCAGCTTCCTAAATTGGAAGACAAAGATGGGCAGCAGAATGAAGCCCCCATAATCCAAGGGGAAATGGTCAGCCATCTGCTACAAGGGAAGGGATGAAAGGAAGTGGCCTCAGGTTGCACAGGAGGAAGGTTAGGTGGGATATCAGGAAAAATCTCTTCACCAAATGGGTTACTAAGCATTGAAACAGGCTGCCCAGGGACATGGTTGGGAGCTATTTAAAAGGTGTGTACACATGGTGCTTAGGAACATGGTTTAATGAAGGTCAGAATATCTGAGACAAAAAAAAAAGTATAAAAATTAAAACCAGTAACGTTCAGAACAAGTTATTTTTTCCATGTTGATTGAAGCTTTTTATGTTTTTGAAGCTTGGACAAAAGAGGCACCACTGTGAAGCTGTAAATATCAAAGTTCAAAGTTTCTGTACATCATTGTTCCAATATAGGTACAGAAAGTTTGTTCTGTTTTACTCCCTTCCAGACTCTATATCATAGAGGTCATTTCAATGAAAGTCATAATGAAGAAAAGATGCACACTTGTGCACATGCATGAACATATCTATAATTCATAAAAACTTACGAGAAGAGGGATCAGAAAGGAAAAAAAATTTGAAGTTAATTCTTATCAACCATCCAAGCTTTTTGGTGTGAAGGGGCTTAGATCAAGTGCCCTGCATTTGCAAATCCCATCCCCCATAATAAAATTATGTGATCTGTCAGAAATGAAATTGCGTGTCATGAAATACTGCACAACTCCATAAATAATTAGCATTTCCATTTTCCAAAACAAATTGATAAAACTGGTATTTGGCTTAGATTTTGCAGTTGAAGAAGCTCTGTTAGGCTTGTGCTGTTAATTCAATCTTCCACAGGTGGACTGATAAAAGCAGACACATTCAAATTGCCAGTGTGAAGGGCAGGTTAGATTCAGAGGAGTTAAAGGAGGTTCAGAGTCAACAAAAATGCCTTTTAGGACATAACAAATAGTATGAGGATTTTCAAATTTACTTTTAAAAGAATCTATTCAAACTAGCAGTTCTGTTTAATTCACTGAGAGGAATTCAGTGGTTGTGTGGAATAAGCCATGAAACTTTCTGCCCATACATTTCAGCAGTCAGAATCAGGTGTCATTCGCACCAAAGGCGTTCTACATTTTTGTGATACTGATATAACCTTCCAGAAAAACCCCAAAGGAGTGCAAACCTCAGTGATCAATTGATTCTGAAAGCAGATCTTGTCCTTGCATTTGAAAGCTGTAATTCTATGATAGATACCCATCTCATCTCAGTTACACATCAACCACATCAACGCAGCTTAAGGTCAGATATTTCTGAAAAGCAGATATTCACTTCCTTAGGAATTAAAAATAGAAGGAAACCTAAGCAGATGAAGATACATATTTAGGCAGCACTCAGCAAATACTACCTTAGAATGCATGCAGGAGTCAGAGAATGATTTTGATTAGAAGGGACCTTAAAGACCATCTTGTTCCAATGCCCCACCATGGGCAGGGACACCTTTCCCTAGACCAGGAATCTTAAGCAACTCTTCTGATTATTGGGCCTTGAGATTCTGGCAAGACAGCTGCTGCTGTCATCTGAGCAAGGCTGGCTGCTTGCTAGAAGCATAACAGTTTAAAGCAAGGCAATTCTCAGTTTTGGCCCATCCTTTGTTTCTGGAGAATGACATATAAATTAGAACTGCTCAAAACAAAACCCATCCTTCAGGGAGTATCATACTCATTCGTATGGAAGAAATGAATCTTGGCTTATTTCAGTCTTGTTTGCCAGGAAAGCAATTCAAAAATCATCCAGATTAAACCTTTATCAATTTCAGATGTCTACATTTCTATTAGTTCCTAGAATTGTTTTGGGACACAGCCTAATGAGAATGATATGACAGCTATAATTTCAGTTTGATTTTGTAAAATTTGCAGGTGCTTCCACAGAACCCAAACACTGATTTAGACATTCGGAGAAATGGGAAAAAAAATAGAAGAGAAAAATAGATTTAAAAATATTTACAAATGCATATAAGGTAGTCACATTACTGGGTTTCCCTCTAATAGACTAATTTAGATTTATAGTCTGGATCTTTTTTTTTTTTATCTTTCAGGTGTCAGATGAAAATGGCAAAACCAGGAAGTTTCTGCTGGAAATTGAATGAAGATTTTTATTAATGTTTTCATTAATAATCATGTATGACATTCTGTCAATACACAAAAAAGACACACACCTCTATTCCCATAGCTAATTATATCAATATGTTATTATTAATACACAGCATCAGACACAAGCTTAAATATTTTACATGGTGTGAAATTCTAATCTTTCTTTTCTAATAGAATGTGCTAAAAGCAAGCAGACCTCATCTACCTGAATGCAGAATAGACAAATGAACAAACCAGAAGCAGCAGGAATGAGTGCCTGTACCACATGTTCTTCAGGAAGAGGCACTGTGGTGTTGACTGTGGTATTTACATGCCTGTGTAGGTTACACACCTTTAAAATAGAAATGCTCATGCAAGTAGGAGAATTCATATCCTGAGAAAGGTGACACAGAAATGTCTGTCTGTGATTTATTGATTTGCAATGCCAAGTAAGGTCAGCTCAGCAGCAAACAGATATCCTATATTAACTATGCCTTTCCCTTGGGAATACACAAGGAAATTTCTGGTAACCAGATAGAAAGCATAACTTTTCAGGTTCACATAAACTGTGGATTAATATGGTCACTACATAACTGTATTTGCATGATTAAAACCACATTTTCAAATATTTCTTCAAGCCATAGAGATCACCTGAATATGTATGAATTTGGAATAGTCCATATTGCCCTCATGGTAACTTGCCCGCTTGATTAACCCAGAAGAGTTTACAAATATATCTCATCATTATATCTCTCTGTCAGTCTTAGCAAATGGCTTTTCAAAAAAAAATACAGCAGGAAAAAACCCACAAACCCAAACAGACAGGAAGTACTGTGGCTATACCTTTCTATAGCCTGTACCCCTGCTGTCTGCTGACAGCACAAGGCAGACCAGACTCCCTTTCAATACCTGAACCTTGGCATTTTGTAGTTAACCACCAGGAATGATATGCAGGGCATCTGAAGGTTAGTTTGGAAGCTGGGCAAGGAGCCAAGAAACGTGTGTGGCAGCCACACCAAAACCCATCAATTTCACAGATTTTCTACCCTTCCAGAGACTTGGAAAGAGTTAAAAGTGCAAGGAATATGGAGTGAGGTTCAAGAGCTGTTCAGATGTAGCAGCAATGATCTACGTGCACCACGACACATAACTCAACCTTTGAGTGCTGTGTTCAAAAAGAGCAATGAAACACCCCTGGTTCCAAACACTGAGAAGGAGTATAAAACCCAGTGTGCCATGAGAAACAAAGCACCATCAAGGGGATCAGCAGATCTAAATGAGTTTTTCATGGTAATAAGTGCTGACTGACCTTGCCCATTAACTAACTCACATATCTACAGCAGACACTGAAATATTAAAAGTGCACTAGCAATAGGCTAAGTGGACAAAGTAATCCTTTAGAAAGAATTAATTCGTAATTTAGAAAGAATTAATAGTCCTCACTTATAAATACAACTGTTTTCCTGAAAGACAATTTTCAGCAATGTTCTTGAGGTATCTATCAGCTCAGATCTGAACAATACCACTGAAAAATCATTACACTTATGTGGAACACCACCCCAGGCATGGCACTTGAGTAGAACTGGACAAAATTACCATGCAACTGAGACACTAGCCTGTGGTTCGTTAAGTGGTTCCAACAGTAATCTGGAGCTCTGGAGACTGGGGTTTACTCTCCTGCTTTGGAGCACATAACCAATGAAGTCTGATGAGATGACCTCATGCAGCTGTGCCTAAACTTCCAGCCTGTAAAATGGGAGTATTGTTCCTTACTTCTCAGAATGAAAAGAGATACATCAAGCACTTAATTCTGTATGCATAGGACAAATAAAGCTTCTGGGTGTGTACATTTCCCCCTTTCTCTCACTTGCTACAGGGTTTTCATCCTTTTTTGTGTGTCTCCATGACAAAACAGGGATGTGTAATACCTAATTCAAATAACAGTTGGCACTTTATTACATAACTTTGCCTTTGCACTGCTTTTTCATCCAAAATATCCCTTAAGGATGTTTTTGACTAATGTTTATCTGCTACACAGTCAGTAATAAGAAGACTCTGTGTATATAACATGGTCATCTTCTGACCATTGCTTAGCTGCTACCAGTAATCTAAAGTGAATACAGAAATTCACCATTTTCAACACAAAGCCAGGTTTTCAGATAGCACTAAGCACATGATTGAAGTGAGAGAGATGTAAAAGACCAAAGAGCACACAGAAACTAGAAATACCACAATTGGTACAACAGAACATTTGCTTGCTGGAAATACTTGGCATCTTCACAGAATCACAGAAGGTCTGAGGTTGGCAGGGAACTGTGGAAATCATCCAGGCCAACCTCCCACACTCAAAGCAAAGTCTTCCACTGCAGATTGCTCAGGACTGAGTCCACTCCAGTTCTGAGTAAGCCTGAGGAGGGAGACTCTACAACCTCTCTGAGCAACCTGCTCCAGTGTCTGATCACATCTACAGCAGGAAGTTTTAGTTTAAATTTCCTGTGGTTAGCTATCTGCATTCTGAGTTCAGACCTGTGTCAGTATGATTTTTGTCATTTTATGTCGCAAAAAGTCTTTTAAGCCAGTTAAAACACAGGAACATGTGCAATATAGTGATAGAAGACAGCCAGCACCTTGGCATCAGCATTAGGGTACTACTTCTCTGAGTCATACTTTGGTGAATGATTTTAGTGGGTTGACTGAAGGTTGAACTGCAGAAGGACAGCTGATTAGTTTTGTGGTGTGTTTGTGGCAGTTTTTTATTCAGAGGGATAAGAAGTTGCTGGCAGAAGCAAATTAGGTTTGATTGATGTCTACATTTTTCTAGTACATTACAAAAGCCACAAGACCTTCAAACCATATTATAACTGTCCTCGGGCAGCTCTGTGGAGAGCTGTGCAATAACAGAAATAGCATGACTTAAATGCAGTAGAAGAGGGTTACATCATTTCATAAAGATGCTTCACTTAGGGTTGCTCATTTTATATTTTAAATCAATTGTACTTCATGCTGAAAAATACATCAGAACTTAACTGCTCTTTTAAAAAAGTGATTTTTTTGAGGGCAAGGAAAGACAAATCATTGACTTTAATAAAAATGCAACCTTGATTCTGATCTGGAAAACAAGTCCCTATGAAAAAATAATTGTGCTGATCCTACCAAACAATTACACAGATGCTTCACACAGATAGCAAGCCCCTAGATAATGACCTCTTTTCTCACTATACAGAAGCATTTCCAGGCAGTCTCAGTCCCCACAGATTGCAACAACTCATCACCCCAGTGTGCCTGCACACCCATAAGAATGGACTGAGTGCTTCTGTCATCCTTGCATGACATGGAGCCATCATACAAACTTCAGTGTTTATCATATATTTCCTCCCAGAACACCACAACCAAAAATATAAAATAATATAATACCAAGACAGACTCCCTGTTGATCTCAGAGACCTGTGCTATTTCAGCTCTTGCTCATCTTTGAAACATTAAACTCTGAAGCATCTTTTTATGTTCTTGGAAAAGATGTAGTACCAGGAATGTCATGAAAATTTAAGCAATTGTTCATCCTCCTGTTGTCATTAAGAATTTTATATAGAAGCTATCATTATTTTTCTTTGCTTAACACTTCTCTCATTTCTTCTGCTCTTCACTGAGCCACTAATAATCACCTCACCCTATTCTCTTTTTCTGCTTCGTCTCCCTTCTTATGCAAGACAGGTTTGTTTTAATAAATCTTTTTATTTCTATACATAATGTCATAACTGTGATCTTCCCCATAGTAGTTTACTGGTCCTAAACTCCTTCCATTTTGGTGTTCATAGGTTTCTGATATAGCAATACCCTGGGGAAAAATGCAATTTTCCAAACAGAGCCATATTGGAGCCAAGTCAACATAAATTATTAATTCCTATTCTATAATACATGTATCCACAGTACTACTCAAAATTCTTCTGACTATTTGTGCTGCATTGTTCCAAATTTCAACCCCCCCTCCCTTTTCTAATAACTCCTTCTCTGCACAACTGGTTTACAGATTTCTTGTGTTATTTGGATTATTTTTCCTAAAACAGTTTTATTTCATGTGTCTGAGTTGCATTCTAACCTTCCTATCACCTCTCTAACATCTTTAGCCTTATCTTCTAAAAATGAACAGGAGCCTTTCTGTAAACTCTTCAAGCACAGAGTCTGATTTAATTCCATTTGCACTCGTTCTGCATGCAACCATGCATGATCAAGACCACCAGACAATTGTATGATCACAAATCATATCTAGGGTGGACCTATCATGTGGATAATTACTCTCCAGATCAATAGTTTTTGATCTCACACTGCTATCAGTAAACTTTCTTGAATATGCCTCCCATATATTTACATTTTTAAATAATGTATATGTGCTACTTTACTAACATATTATTTACATTATGAAAACATATAAAAAAGGAAATGAAAATTGAATGGGATAAAGATGAAATAAGCACAATTAAAAAAAATACTAATGATACTTAAAATATTTTCTTCCACACCCCAATAGCTGTGAGTGCACATTGGAGTGCACTGCTCAAGCCCTTGTCCAGGATACATTTCCACTTCTCTGAAGAAGTGAGAAAACAATGCCCAGTATTCCCAGTTTAAACAACACTAAAATTTTTCAAACTGAGGAAACAAATACCATTGCTCAATCTAGCCTCATTTACGTAGCAATACTTCAGGATTGTTATTTCTGCTTGTATCTTTACAGAATTTGTCTTCTACATCTTCAAAGAGGCCTTTGTAGTTCTTCATTTAAATGAATTAATTGAATTGGGATGCCAAACTTGATATTTTTCTTGTTTTTTTTTCAGCACATCATAACCTTGATTGTTTATAAATGAAGCAAAGATGATTTAGAAGAAGATGAGTAATCATTTTTAATAGAATAAATGAGGTGGTGTGTTCAGGAACTTTCTCTTTTAATTATTTTTCCCTTAAATAAGTCCACAATAATTCAAACAACAACATATGAGATACTTTGGTATATTTAATATTTTTATAGTAACTCCCATTTCAGAGAAAGTATTTTTTAAAAGATTTGATCTTAGGTGTTTTTGGTTAGGTCTTGTTGGTTTGTTGTTCTTGTTTTTTTTTTTTTTTTTTTTTTTTTTTTTTTTTTTTTGGTTTTTTTTAATCTGACATAGGCCAGGGCTGATAAAGAAGGATAGTAACAAAATAACCTCTCTGAAGTAAATATGATCAGCACAGTATCTAAAAATATAATGAACTGAGGTGGCAATAATTCCAGACTTTCTGCCAGTTTAGGCATTAATATTTTTTATGCAGTAGACTGCATTTTATTTTCAGTCATTGTTCATTTTGAATGAAATGCTGTTAGAGCTAAGCCAGTTATTCTTTTTACTTTGTCCCTTGCACTACACAGCATTTTATAAGAAATACTCATTATAGCTATCAGACATAACTTGCATCCAAAAAGAGCAGAGCTTCCCTGTTTAGTGTATTTAATGCATATCATTACATACTGACATCCCATTTTGGTTTAACTATTGATTATTTTTAGTATTACAATTAATGTGCAGCTCAATTCATGCAGATCTAACTTCTCAGGGTGGGGAACAAACCACTAAACCCATCACCCCTAAACAAAAAAGTTATGCTGGTAACTTGAATAAAAGACCAACACAGTCCAGATTGTAAAATAGAGAAAACCAGTAGTGTTTTGATTAAAACAGTATTAAAAGTATTTCTTGGTGAATTTCATAATAAAGAAAATGCCTGTCAGGCATCCATTAATCTTCCTTGCTTTTCAGTGCTAAAAGGAAAGGAAGCACAAAATATGTTTTGTTCATTGCTCTTCATGAGACTTCTCTTCTTTTGATAGATCAAAAGCCTTAGTTGATATGTTTGTCTTTCTGTTTTGCTGCCACTGCAAATGTCCTTCTGTGCTCCTGACAGCCTTCAATTCATTTCTCTGGGTTAGACAAATACTACTCTTGAAGCTGTCTCATAAAGCTGTAGACTTTTTTGTGGGTTTCCCTGTATACACCTTTTGTTGCCTGCTGTGCCTATCATACCTAAGGAACTCATTCCTGTTGGCTTACCTGGGATATAAATCCAGAGAAGAGCGCAAAAGTACATTGGGACTATTGTCTGTACAGGTGGGACAGCTTCCAGGTCAGGAGCCTTTTCCTAAAGATGGAGGAGTAATTTAGATCCAATATCAGCATGGAATCATGCAGCCACAATTCAATTCCTCTTCCACTTGGACAAGCTTTGAATGCATTTGTAAGTGGGGGAAGTGCATGTCTCTACATGGTCCTGGTAGTGGTGGTGAACAAACTGTGAGCTTGTTCTAGTTTGGACATCAATGGAAGTAGGATACAGGCATAGACAGACCCCAAAATTTTTGTAGGTGTTACTGCCCAAGTCAGTGAATGTCTACTGACCTGGCAAATTCTCTGCTGAATTTGCAGGACCTGTAGTGTACAAGCTGACATAACCTGATGTTTATTCAGAGACTCCAAATACAGGGTGCCAATTTTAGTGTGTGCAAGGTAAAACATTAGCATAACGCAATTCAGGAGATTCACACCTAAAACAGGCAGAGTGTATGAAACAAGATTTCTGCTTCCCAGAAAAATCAATGGGAAATTTGCCATTGACTTCAGCAGAAGCAGGATTTCATCCAGAGCACGTAATTCCATGTCTATCAGTGCGTGCACCCATGGTGGCTTTCAGCTGAGAAAGTTTGGAGCTGTGGCAGCATGCCAGGTGAGACTGCTCTGCTGCCTGCAATGATGTGAGCTGGCTACCTCACTTAACACATGCAAAATTCACTGGGTTTTTTTTTTTTAACACACACTAATTTATGTGCCCTGCAAGCAATTTATTTACCCTTAGCTGGGGGTGGGTTTCCTGCCTAGTATTTGTAAAGAACGACCCCAACTGAGAATAAAAGGTGTTGAAAAGAGAGCTAATAATCTGTAGCCAATTTCTCAGATACAGCTGCTAACAGGAAGTCACTGTGTGCTCAGGAATACACCTCGTGCTCTGTAATAATGAACACAAACACCAAACTGGTGACAGAGAAATAGCATTGGCAAATCTACAAACTAAACTGTCTAAATTCATGTATCAATCACAACCGAGGTATAAATATCCTGAGCATGAATCTGTCACCACAATTTCTACATGATTCATTTATTTTGATGGGCTGAGACACAATTCTGGAATTGAACATCCCAGAACTTTAGGATATTAAAAATTCACATCAGGGTTTTTATAATGTAGGACACTAATTTTCCTTGAATTGCAAATTTATGCTTTGGGGCGTTAGAAGTATTCTGAATACCTTCCAATGCCTGCTTTTCTTTCTTTCTTCCTATAAAAGAATATTTAGATTGCCCCAAGGCAGCCTTTGGACTGTGGCATGATGCTTTGTTACCTGTTAAAAGCAATGCTCCGAGCTACAGAGAACAGTGGAGGAAAATGTTTTCCATCAAGGACAAAGATGAGCTCTTTCCAGTAAAAAGTATTTGGCTTGTAAGGCTTACAGGGAAAAATACTTCATTTTTCACAAGTCACCAATTATTGGTATGACAATAAGTAGGGGTGGGCAGAAGCTAATCCTAAATGCAAATGAAAACTGCATATAAAAAGTATTATTGAAATAAGCCCACACTCTGAAAGTGGACTTTGATTGTGGATTAATTCTCTCTCCCTTTTTCAGCTGAATATGGTTTTCAGAAGGAAAATTCTCTGCCTGCATAAGCTATAAAAAACTTGGAATGCTTTTATCACTGTGCCCAGGAAACCAAAGAAATACATATTTTACTCAAAAAGTAGATAGCAGCTCAAATATTTCAACCTTGCCTGAGTGGTGAGTGGGAATCATGAATTTCTCTGAAACATTTTTTAAAGTGTATACTCTCCCACTACAAAGCAGTGATGCATTTTTTGAAAATAAAAATACCATCAAAAGAGAAGAACTGCAAATGAAGTGAATAAGTGTGTTCGTGGAGGCACTGATAATACCAGCACATCTTCTGGCAGTATAAATCTAGAGAAGGACATTGCTTTCAGTGAACCTATGCTCCATACACTTTCTGCAAATGTGGCTAAACATCCTTCATTACTCTTTTTACTTTTAATTCATTTGGCTGTAGGAACTTATTCATCTCTAGATTTCCTGCCAGATAAGTGCTGTTATTATTGCTGCTTTAAAAGCTATTCCACCAAGTAAAAGCTTTTTCTCTAATTAATTAACTAAGATCTCTTCTTTTATTAAACAACTAGGCTCTCCTGTGCAGGTTAAGGGAGAGGGTAAACCTAAGGTTGTATGCATCAGCTACAGAAATTTATATGGATGATCACTTCTGCTGCTTAGAAATATTGGTTGGCCTCCTTCCAGAAAGCTGAATTTCAGCTGAATCACAGGAGCTGTGAAGAGCTGAACACCTCAGGCTTCCTTGGAGAGGAAGATCTCAGTCTGTCCACCACAGGACACAAGATGCAATGAAACCTGCTGGAACTGTGCCTCCTTTGTAAGACTCACATAGCTCTGACACCAAAGAATCTCCACCATTCTCCAGAATGTTTGCACCTGACATGAGCCATTGTTTCGTGTTCCCTTAAATGTCATGGTTTGCACATGAGAGATTCAGAACTAAAGTAAAATCACAAATTAATTATCCTTCCAATTGAGCTTGTCTTCCTCAGGTTAGATTCCATATGCATCTGAAGAGAACTATGGTTGGAATGATAACATAAACCATATTGCCAAAATCCTTAACCTCACTAGGTGTGTTAATTCAGGGTAACAAATGCTTCCTCGTGCCCTATCAATTTACATGTGAATTTTTTAATCACCTCCAGTTTTTTTTTAAAGTGTTGCTTGCCACAGTGAGTATTAAAAGCCAAATTCTAAAAGGAAAGCAAATGAAAGGAAATTATTACTGAAGCATTAAGAGACAGTGGTAAGACTATTCATTGAATTTGCTCAGTACCTCATCAGCCTTCTCAGAAAGCAAAGTCCAGTGCTCTCAGGAGATATGTAGGCACTGAAGCACATCAGAATTACAGCTTCCATCTAATGAACATTTACCTCCCTCTAAATGTCACTCTTGGAGGGAGTAACCAGAAAAAATGTCACAAAAGATAACATCCCTCATGACATGACATCACTAAGTCTGTGTAGAAAATCATTATTCAGAACATCATAGAAGCCCTTCAATTATTTCTCCATCTGTGAAACTGTTATGAAGTGTCCCCCAAAGTCAGCAATCTTCAGTGTGCAATTATGGATTTTTAAATTTTTTTCATCATTATTTTAAAAAATCCATTGCTTGAAGGAAAACAGGGAAAATAAAAAGATCGAGCACCCCAAATTCTGGTTTTTTTTTAATTGCTTGTTTGAGAGAATGTTTAATTTTCTTGC